TGTGTGTGTGTGTGTGTGTGTGGTGGGGGGATGGGGCTGTACGTCCACTCTAGGTACTAAATTCAATACATGTGTGTTTATGTAGGTGCTAGACTTGAAGTAGTGTTAGCTAGAGCAAGAGAATCATTAAAACATGAATTGTTCTAAAAATGAATAATTTTTGAACTGGACCTTAAAGTTAAATCTCATAACTGTAGCAAATAACTTATTTTGGGGTTTAAAAAATATATTAATTATATCTTTTTGGTAATTATATATTAAGTATCTTGAAGTAATAATAGTTCTGTTTTCTATTTTTTACATTCATTTATTCACACAAATACATTCATTTTTACAGCTTGTCCTCGCACTCATCTTGTCATTTCCAGCTTGTTTTCTCCTCTGTGGTCTTCTGATCTTGTGGTCATTCTTTTCCATACAGTGAAATTGAATGAAAAATTATATAAAAGCACCCAAAACATAGTTCAAAGGCTATATTCCAAGTCTTCTGTAGCTTTGACGTCGTACCAGGTGTAAAATCAATGATGAGACATGAAAACCAATTATGTTCAGTTTCATTGATGACAAACCTGGCACAACTTTTTAAGGTGCCATATTTATTTGCAGGAGAACATAAATGAGATTTGAGAGGAAGATTTTGGTGAATAAGGGCTTAAATAACTCACATGTAGCTCTTATGTGGTTTGCTGGTGCACAAATCATGTGGTACGCCTCAAATACATAGCAAATATTTTTTTATCTCCAAACAAGCAGGCATTAAATGATCCACAGGGATTTCTGGAAAGCTTTTTGGACTGAAGATTCAAATGAGTAAGTTAATCAGTTCAAACAGACTGTCCATTTGAACGGATTTGTTCAAATGAATCAGATCAACTCTAAACCGAAGTCTGATGAAGCAAGTTGATGAAATAGTGCATGTAAAAAGGGGGGAAAACGATAACCACAGACGAAAGAATAAAAAGCCTGTTGACCTCTCATTGTTTTGTGGTCAGAAGGAGCTTTGTCATTCTTCTACCGCAGAGCTGAGCAAGGAAAGGTCTGGAATGCCCCCAAAATGTTTGGGAACGTAATGGTCTTCTTAAAAGCCTAAATATAATATTTTAATAATTTTCACTTATACAATAAATATATAGTATGTAAAATAAATATTAATTCTATATACTATAATTCTATAATCTATATATTATAAATTATTTAAATTATAAATATATAGTATATAAAAACTTTATACTTTATACTATAAATATATACAGTCATGTTGTAGAACAAGAGGATCACTATATTATATGTTATGTACTAGGCCCAGGCACAACATGCCAAATTTTCTGGGGAAATCGGTGTATTTTTGCAGAATGAATTTAAATATGGGAAAAGGTGTTTACACTCTTATTGGTAGCTGAGAGCATTATCAAATTGGCTATATTATTTAATAAAACATGCAATGCACGGGGGATACAGTGTGTGAAACTTTTAATGATGCTCTAATTCTTAGTTATACAGTTTCTTGAATAACCATTATGTCTACTTAGATGATAGAAAACAGTCATAGATCTGTGTGCGTGCTGAAGTAACTGACGTCACCCCTGCAGGTTTTAGTGGAGGATTTGGTTCTCAGGGAGAAACGCAGGCTGCGGTGGGCTGTTGCGGAGGTGCTGTTTAAAGCAGGCCGGCTGGTTAGCCTGCTGGGCCGCTGGAGACAGTAATGGCAGGGTAGCGAGCCAAAGAGAAGCCCTCATTCAAGCTACACTCAAAACGCTGATCTCTAATTAGCATCCTAGACCCAGTAGGGTGGTTCCTGCCTGCGTGTGTGTGTGTGTGTGTGTGTGTGTGTGAAAGAG